GAGAGAATGAGACAGAGACAGACAGAGAGAGATTTGAGACTCCGCAGCCTGTCGGTTTAAGTCTTACCCAGATAGAAATTGTGCATCTCCAAGTCGTGCTTCAGCGTCCCGCCCACACAGAGGCACCCTTGGGGCTTCCCTACCTCCTGCTCGGGATCCCGGGAGCACCAGGTGCAGCGCAGGAACCAGGACCCATGTACAGCCCAGGGTCCGCAGCAGGTGGCACCGGTCTGACTGCCCCACCCCAGGCTTCCCCGGGGGTCTGACGCTGGATTCCAACTCTCTCCCAGAAGCGCAGTTCTTCTGCTCTGGGTGTTGAGGGAGCTAATACTCCTGCTACAGAGGTCTTCTGCGGGGTGGGGATCACGCCCGGTCCCCTAGCTTTTTCCTCCTGGGAAGGGTCGCCAATGTCCATGGGGGGGCAGGGTAGAGCAGTGGCTGGCTGGGCACATTTCTCCCCCCTGGGCCATGCTTCAGGTCTTGGCCTTTGGCCCCAGCACTGGGACAGATGCCCTCACTCCCACCCTCAAGCGACAGGCTGACGAGGCGGATCCCCAAATGATGCCCAGTGATGGATCCTGAGAGAGCATTTCAGGTGCTCGTGTGTGTGTGTGTGTGTGTGTGTGTGTGTGCGTGTGTGCGTACGTGTGCACACACCTGGGAAGAAGACAATGACTTTACACCAGCGTGCCCTAGAAGGCCTCCAGGGTGGGTGTGAGCGGCCTTCTAGCAGCTTAACCGCCTTAAATGCCCCCTGCACTCCAGAAGGTCCAGGGCACGGGGCCCACTGCTGTCACAGGATCTGATGCAGCCCGGAGGAAGCCTGCCCCCATCCCTCTCCAGGCAGATGCAGTGTTGCACCCCTTCCCCAGAACTTCTCCAAGATTTATCAGGGAGTGGGGAAAGCTCTTTGGTGGGATTCTCCATGGTGCTCTTTTTCCTATTTCTGGTAGCTGGGCCAAAGGCAGAGCACAGTGAAAGTTCAGTCTCTGCAAAGCCTCAGCTGGGCAGGAAGCGAGAGGCGGGACACAGGATACCATGCAGGGTGGTCTCTGTGCCATGTGGTCCTCTGCCCACTTCATTGGAGTGTCCCGTTGAGGGCAGAGAGAGCATTCCATAGAAGGATGGTAGCTGGCTGAACATGAGTACTGAGGCAGCACAACCAAGAGGGTTGGAATCTGCTTCTTCTTTTGGAAGGCTTCACACCTTCCAGTTGCTAAGCCAATGCAGAATGCTGCCCCCCGGGCTTGAGCGGCTCCCAGAATTCTAAACTGAATTTTACTGGACAGACACCTCCTTGAGAGTGGTGCAAAGGTCCTTTCACAGCCTGGCGCTTTGCCAGGCCTCTGGGTGGGTGGGGGGAGCTAGGGCTGAAGAGTGTGTGAGCAGAAATAATGAAGGAGCAAGTTTCAGGATCTTGAAACCCTCATGGCGACTCCCTTGAGCTCCTTCAAGGAGAAAAAGGATAGAATTGCTCAATAAATCAAGTACTCCAGGAGCATGGACTTAGCTCAGTAGTTATCACTATTCATGATATTAATTAGCATCTCTATTTCAAGGCTAGTTGAATAAGTCTGGGCCATGGATGTCTTCTCCCTGAATTCAAAATTTAATGGCTGCAGAAGCAGTGCATTCAAATAAAGTGGCAGAAAGTATGTGCTCCATGGCTCTAAATGTAATAAAGTTATCCCAAGATCTCATGAGACCCGAACAGGAAAGGTACAAGAGGCAGCTTAGGTAGCAATGCTTTCATACTTATGTGGAAACCAACTTTGGTGTTAAAATACTTGCTTCACATTGCTTATGCAAATCAGCAAAAGGAGCTCCCCTTGCCTCCTTCCGCTCCAAACACACTTCCTGTTGTACAAGAGATGCCTTCCTTCTACTTACTCAACAGTAGAAGGAAGCTTCAGAGTACCAAACACTTCCGATATTTTGTCAAGCAGCAGTACTAAATGTAAAACAACAAGGACAATCCTGATCAAGGGCCTTGCTTCTGTATGCAACATTATAGAAGAAAATGAGCCTTCTCATACTTTGCATTACAGGATTTGGGTAATGAGAAGAAAAATCTTCGCAGATAAGAAGCTTAAGATGAGATGTGTAAGATGCAAATAAAATGTAAGCCCTCCTTATCTACATATACATTAGAATCCAACTTCAGTGTTTCTCTCCTGTCTCTTTCTTCCAGTTGCTTTACTCCCACTGTTAAGAACAGTGTAGCT